ACAGAACGAAAAATATCTGCATTTAACACCCTATGGAAAGGAAAAGCGCATCACTCGTTTCATACAGACAATAGCAGAGGATCTTTCATTCTTATAAGCAACAGGATAGGACACGAGATCATAAATAAACACACAAACAGAAATGGTAACTACGTATTGTAGAATGTAAGATCGGCTTGGAGAGTTACTTATTAGGAAGCATATATGGTCCTAACCAAGATGATCTAAAGTTTTATAGTGAAATAGAGAGCATACTAGAACAGACGAATTCTGAAAATTGTGTCATCGGCGGAGACTTTAACTTCGTTATAGATTTCAATAAAGATTGTTACGGTTACGTGTGCGAGAATAACATTCGGGCTAAAAGAAAATTTATGATTGTCTGCGAAAAATTCAACTTGCTTGACGTCTGGAGATCTGAAAACAAAAATTCTCAGGATTACACATGGCACAACCCAAATTTAAGTAAAGGTGCAAGACTGGACAATGGACATGCTATATATAAGCGAACACTTGTCCAATCAGTGCTCAGACGTAGAGATTAGTCCCGGCTATAGAACGGATCATAACATGGTGTCCAAGTTCAAGTTTCAAGTTCGGTGTATTGAGGACATTTCCACATAGTGGCTTAATATTTAGTCCGAGTCAGAGTACATAGATAAAAACATGACACAGTCAATATCACAGTAAATCACAATCAAGAGATGGGTATATAAAAACACGGTCCAAAGTCGGACAAACCAGACCCTCGACTAGTTCGATAGCCGGCGCAGAAACTCGGCGCGGGTTACAGAGCCGGTGACAGCCGGCGACAGGCGGTTCCACGCCGCGGCCGCTCGGTAAGAAAACGCGCGGCGCGACGCGGACAGGCGGTATGGAGGCAGCTCGAGAGCGCCCGCCTCAGTCGACCGGGTGCTGCGCCGGGAAACCGCTGTACGAGGGACGAACAGGGAGCGGATCGCCGCGGGAGCGTGCGGGTCCCTCAGCGCCCTGTAGACGCCGAGGCAGTCACGGCGCTCAACCAGCTCGCGCACGTCACACCAGCCCAGCGCAGCTAGGATCGGCGATACATGGTGATGCCTGGGCACGCCAGAGACAACCCTCGCACCAAAATTCATCGCCTTCTGCACACGGTGAAGGTGGCATGCAGCGGCGCCACCCCAGACAGAGAGGCAGTACAGGATGTGAGGAAAGGTATGACACTGGATAAGGAGCTTGAGGATGTCGGGACTGAGATGATGGCGAATTTTATACAGACATATAAGGATGGAATTGCACTTTTTGACAACGTTGGAGATGTGCTTTTCCCAGGATAAGGTGGGGTCTAGGGTCACTCCCAGCATCTTCACAAATGGCGAGGGTGTTAGTAAGTAGCCTGACAGGTTAAGGTGGAAGGATGAGGTTTTCTTAAGGTTTTGGGCAGTGCCGACAAGGAGCAGAGTGGTCTTGGATGGGTTCATTTTTAAGGAGTTGGATGTGAAGTAGGAGAGGACAGCACGGAGGGTATCCTCCTGTCGGGATTTAAGGATGGATAGATCTTTAGGACGGGCCGAGTCAAGTAATTGGGTGTCGTCGGCGTAGGAGATGAGGCGACCGTGAGGAAGATAGGATGGAAGGTCATTTGTGAAGATGCTGAAGAGGATGGGACCGACTAGGGAACCTTGCGGAACCCCATGGGAAAGAGGCAAGGACAAGGAACCACCTCTCACCACCTGCCGTCGACCAGTCAGGTAGCTACGAAACCATCTAGGATCAATACCATACCAGCACAGCTTTCTAAGCAGAACGTCATGGTCAACACTGTCAAACGCCCGGCTCAAGTCGATGGACGTGACGGCGACAACATCGCCATCGTCGACACGCCGCGTCATCCACTCTACCGCGTCGATCAGCGCGTCCTCCGTTGAGTGTCTAGATCGGTAAGCATACTGTGACGGAGCTAAAAGGTGACAGCGAGCGAGATAAGATGACAGCTGAGTACAAACAATTTTTTCACACACTTTTGATAACACAGGTAAAATAGAGATTGGCCTAAAATTGCCTGGTAGATCTTTGGCACCGGACTTGTGCAAAGGCACGACTGTAGCGAGCTTCCATGTGTCGGGAAAAGTACAAGAAATGATGGACGCGTTCACAATGTGTAAAATATGAGAGCCTATGACAGTAAAACACGATCTTATAGCCTGCAGCGGTACACCATCATGCCCGACTGCGCGGGACGAAGACAACCGGCTCAGAGCCAGCGACAGCTCCGGCAGCGTGGCAGGCTGCAGACGCAGCCCCGCCGACGTAACACACGGCGGCCGCGGCGGGAGTGGGAAGGGGTCACTGGCGGACAGCTCAGCAGCGATTCGAGGCCCAACAGCTGCGAAATGGGCGTTAAAAGTGTCCTCTTGACCCAGTGGTACCCCCTCGCAAGCACCAGCTCCACCACGGGAAGGACGGAAAGCGAAATCCCTGATGTTTGCGCCAAAAGGCTCGGCGATCGGAAAGCATGTCACTGGCTAAAAAGTCGCGCTTGCACTTGATCAGTCCACTTTTCACACAGTTCCTCAGTCTCCGATACTCGTCCCTGTCCGTGTCCGTCCGAGAGCGGCGCCACACGCGGTACGCTGCGTCTCGCCTACTCATTAACTCCCGCAGCTCCGGGCAGTCCTCCAGCCACGGGCAGTGGGGCCGGCGAGGTGTGACACGCTTCACAGGACAGTGCACGTCAAGTACGCTCCACCAGATGGCCAGAAAAGCACTCACTTTGTCGTCAATCGAGACTGAGTCATAGACAGCATTCCAGTCCGCCCGCAGAAGGTCCAGACACACTGCGTCCCAATTTACCTTGCGCCACAATGTGTCACAATGGTGTCAATGAGTTTAGTAATAGGTGCGTCAAAGCCAGGTCCGGGACTGTGGAAATTTAATGATTCGCTACCAGTGGCGGCGGATTCGATTTTGGCGTGGGGGGGCAAGATCCCAGTCGAGATGATGTCATAGGCGGATCCAGAAAGACGTTTTCGACGCTGTAGGGGACATACCCCCCCCAAAAAAGTGTCCAAAATCCAAAAACTCCTCGGATTTCGATTCCTTACTTTATAATGCTGAACAGTATAAAGCAAAAAAAAAAAAATCCTGATAAAAGTGTTATTATTAGGAAACATAAGGTACGTTTTGTCTATTTCGGGCGATGCAGGGGCCAGGGGGAGGGGAGTTAATATTTGCTTTAAATGCCCGCTCTCTGGATCCGCCAGTGGACGATGTAACGCTTTTCGTATTGCTGTATTAGAAAAAAGCTCAAATAGGAAAAATTGTGCCATAACCCGATCGCATATCAGATGTTGAAGAACGGTGCCAAACCTTTTGAAGTAGGCGAGCGCTATTCTTCAATGAGGTAACTCGTTACCGTTTCCTCTGTTCATTTTACGTTCGATTTCCGTTTAACCTTCCATTAAAAAGTATTTCTGAGACAGATATCAACTGAAACTAACTCACAGCGGGAGGAGACCGCTCAAACATTCAGAGACAGTCGGTCACATCTAAACCTATTGGGACAGCGATCCGCCAGATACCCTCCCCAAGGCAGTAGTTCGCCAAATAAGCTCACCGAGACGGGCTGTCTCGATGGGTTTATACAGTAAGCCTACAGCAGGGCTTAACTAAGGCCCAAACGCTCGTCAAGCTGGGAACGGAGGGTGAGGGAGCGCGGCGGCGGGCTGAGGTGAAGGAACGGTGGACTGGAACGAGAATCCAGAAGCTCTGGGTGGGGCGTTTCTTTATTAGGGCTTTAGGGTGTGCTGACTGCGGTAAGGTCCAAATTATCACACCAAATTTTGCCACGACATTACCGGTTCAGGCACTCGAGAATCAGTGGTCAGTGATATCTGCAAAGACGAAGCATTTCCAACCCAGCTTCAGCCTGGTGTCAGGGCGCCTCAGGTGGCTTTAATTACAGTTGCACATACCAAACGACCTCAGTGCAGCCAGTCTGTGGCCGAAACCATTCGGAACAGACTTCAACGAAAAGTGAAACAAGGTTAGTGCTATCGTTAAGTGCCATTATAGACTTGGGCCCCGTTGGCTTGACCCACTGGAAGGTGGTAGTTATCGGACGCTGCGGGGCATACTCATTTTCCCAAATGTCTTAGAATTTGCTTTCGTGTTCATAGGCGGCGGAACGGGGAGGGCACCGGGGCACCGTGCCCCCTTTGATTTTGGCATTTTAACGTTAGCACTATGGGCGTTGCATGGAAAGAATTGGACCAAAAGTCGGCAGTGCCCCCCGCCCCCCTTAATTGAAGGTGTTCCGCCGCTACTGTTCGTGTTTGATGCTCTTTATTCTATGTATAGCCAGCCTTTAGACAGAGGGGGGCCCACTAATGATCAGTGCCCTAACCCTCAAGAGTTTCCATCATTAATTTTTACTTTTTTAATAGTGAAACTGAAATAAAGCGGATACTGAACTGTGAACATCCAGTTTTTACACTGGCCCCACACAAGCCTCCGAATGCCCAAAGTAGATCTCTGATGACTGGCCTTTGGGTGTCATACCATACCGTGCATTGGTCAATGTGGTCAATGTGTACGACCTTGGCGTTTACCATTTTATGCGCTGGAAACTGTTCCGCTTGAAAAAAAATAAGATGAGTGGCTTATTATGAGCGCTCATCAGTCCTACTCCTAACTACCCGCAAGCGAATGTCTAGCCCTTCCGTCTCCGCTCGCTAGCGATTTGGCATTTATGTAGGTACAAAATAGCGGCAAACGACCACTGAAGGTATGAGTTGCGTCTCTTGCACACTTAAAATATCTAAATCGAATCTAAAAAGACAAAAAATGATATAAAGCGGAAATGGTTAGCATTTACACATATTCAAAAGGCACCGTTGAACAAACTGTAGGAGCGCATAGCTGCAATATCAGGTTATGGAAATTTTCCACATGTTTAGGGCACAAATTATGGAGGGGCAAGAATATACGTTTGCCCCTCCTCCAAGAGTTTCTTAGCGCTGGCTGCTGTTTTACACGGCGCGCACACAGGAGCAGGCCGCCAAATGCCTGACCAGCGTCAAGAACGTGGCGCGCAACTTCGGCATGATGATTGACGAGCCGCGCAAGATCCTGGTGAGCGAGGACCGCGTCCAGGGCTACGTGCAGGCCATCGAGCAGAACTTTTCGCCGGAGGCGCAGCTAGTGATGTGCATCATCCCCAGCAAAGACAAGACCAAGTATGACGCCATCAAGCAGCTGCTGTGTCTGCGCCGTCCGGTGCCCTCCCAGGTGGTCACGGCCCGGCTCATCCAGACCAACAAGAACACGCTCGGCGTGGCCACAAAGATCGCGCTGCAGATGAACTGTAAACTGGGTGGCGTCCCCTGGGAAGTGAAGATCCCCATGAGCGGATCGATGATCGTCGGCTATGACACGTATCACGAGTCTCAGCACAAGGGCGCCAGCGCCGGCGCCTGGGTGGCCAGTATGAACGCCAACGCCAGCAAGTACTACTCGCTGGCCACCATCCACAAGGACAAGGAGGAGATCTGCTCGCACATGCAGAGCAACATGATGCGTGAGTGCGGGTCCTTATTGGAATGCCCTGCCTTGTCCCTTTCCCTGTCTGCTGCTCGTACAGCGAAACACTGCTGGCCGTTTTTTTTTATAAAGTTAGTCCGAACCTTTTGAATGGAAGGATTCACAAGGGCAGAGCTCCCGCTCAGCGAAGCTTGTTGCGTTGACCCCGCCCTCTACCCTCCGATCGCGCAATTCCGGTTCTATGGCAGAATTTGGAGTCCAAAGTTTAACGTGCGCACAAAGCCGCGCACGGCCGGTCCCCTCAATGACTTCGCCTGGCTATGGCCTGCCACCAACCGCAACCATACCTGTCAGGAGGCCCATAAATGTCAAGCGCCCGTCACGCTTCGAACACGGACTGTGGTAACCGGGAACGCGTGCTCTTACCACGCGGAGTCCAACGCTCTACCGACTGAGCTACGGGACCGTTTAGTAGGGTTGTTATAAAAAACGAATTTTTGAAAAGTAGGGCTCATGGCTCGTGTGGTACAGTATTCTTAGCTGAGTTTAAGGGTGCCCTTTTTACCGAAAACTATTCAGTGACAGTGAGTCCTATTCAGTGAGTCCCGTAAACACGCCGTCCCGTAAACAGTCTGCGTAAACACGCCGCTGGCGGCTCTCCCCACTGTTGACCTCGGCCTTGAATTGCTGGTGGCCCGTCAGGGTCAGGGACGGACGCCCAGCGGCCACGTAGCGGCGCAGCCAGCTGGGGCATTCCATGATAGATCGTACCACTTTTTTCCAATTTGACACCCTCATCTCTCGGAATTTGACGAGAATTGGTCTCAGGGTAAGCCCCTTTCAGGCTTATCAGATAAGTATTTTTTGAGTTATGGTGTATAACATTTTTTGGATCTTGCTTTGCAGCGCTAAGTTTGGCGGGCTGTAACTCTAAGACGGATTATTCAAATGCCAAATGTTATATAACATTGAACTTGCAATGAAACAGAGATTAATATGTATTTTTTAAATTTCGAAAAATACGCTATTTTTGATATATGACATATCGAGTTTTCTTTCATTTGTATTTTTTGGACTTTTGGACCAATTTTTTTTTGAATTTTTATTTCTTTAAAAAAAATATTTGGCTCATTGTTAAGAAGTATGCAAAAAATTAGGAAGGTGTTCTTTTTACAAATGTATTTATTTTACGTCACGATAACGGTTTCGAATAGTGATTTTGGGAGGGGAGCTTACAAATTGCGTGGTAAAGCTGCCTAGTGACATCACGGGTTACTGAAATTTCAATTCAAGCCTGAGTCATCTGAAAAAAGTGAAAAGAGGGTTTATCCAACCCTCTTTCCTATAAGCGCGAGGGTGAAAAAGGCTGTTTGGTTCTGACATTGTTTTGCACGCCAATGACCATAGCTGTCCGAGATGAAAGTTACAGGACGCATACATGGTGTCCTCCAGAGGTCTCACAACTTGTAGGGGAGAGTGGGGAAAGATGCCCAGGGTTTTGTTACGTCATATATTATTCGAAAATGACGATGGGAAAGCAAAAACTTGGAGTTTCAACGGAAGCCGACATCATTTTTCTCCAAAAATATCACTTTCGTGCCTGAAATATTATAACTTTTTTTGCTATTAAGCATTTTCCTGAAGAAGTGAAAGGGGACATCTTACCCCACAGGGTGGGAAAGACGCCCCCTGGCGTTGGGAAAGATGCCCCCTGCACTATAAGTGACATAAATGGGCACGTGAATCGCCTGAACGAATCAGTAGTCCCTTCGAGCCTGCAGTAGACACTAAACGTCATCATAAGGGCCCTCAAAAGTAGTCGTAAGGGGCTTCAGAGGTCATCGTTAGGGCCATCGTAGTCCAGCGCGGCCAAACAAGCCTCCGTGGTGGCGTTCGGAGACCACTGTGGGGCTCTTATAGGTCTTCATGATGCTTGAGGGCCCTCGAGCCCATCGTGGGGACCTCCGATGCCAGCGCGGCCCGTGGGGTCAACGTGGGAGCCCTCAAAGGATGTCGTGAGGGGCCTTGGAGCCAATAATGAGGCCCACAGAGGCCGTCGTGAGGGCTCTCAGAGTCAGATGCCGCCCAAAAAGTCGCTATGTGGGCCGAGAGACCGGCATGGGGAGCACCCGACCGTACTGGACTCTCAATAGTCCCAGATCGGCTTTTGTCTACATCACAAGTATGTAATAAATGATTTGACGGGCTGTTTGAAGGACAGCCTACGGATTTAGGGGGCGTCTTTCCCCATCAGGACAGGGGGCATCTTTTTTTACAAGTTTATTTTTATTTACACCAAAACAGGTACATTTAACAGCACAATAAAATGATGCGGCGAGACATCATGCACGGGTGAACCAGATCAGAAGGGCGGGGCAGCGGGTCTAGGTCGGGGCGGACGCATATCAGGGGCGCCGCCTGGCCGTTGACGCCGTTGTGGCCGTTCTCCTGCTTGGACCGCTTCGCCTCGTCGTCGGCTGACGCATCCGAGGGACGCCGGGCCCGCTGTCGCCGCCGCAGCCGGCACCCGGCGGCGGCCGTCCGTCGTGGACCATCGGCAGTGCGCCGGCCGTCCGGCCCTGCCGCTCCCGTCGGAAAACGGCGTTGTCTCGTTCCACGGCAGCTCGCAGCGGGCCAGGCAGGGCGGCCAGCGCCGACAAGCCGCCCGCCTGCCACCGCTGTATCGGTCAGCCGGTACAGCAGCGTGTAGGCTGCCTCGGTGGAGCGGCGCGGTAAGCCCAGCGCGGTGGCCGCCGGCACCGGCACCGCTGACGTATCGTCCAGCCGCCACCAGCCGGTATCGTCCATCCCATCAATACCACCGCCACCGGAGGCGCGACAGAATGAGAAATAGTGGCCAGCGTCCAGCGAATGGCCCGCGTGGACTATCACTGCATACAGCCGGTACTGGGCGGGCGGGCCGGTGGCTAGCGGCACTGTCAGCCACTCGGTGAGCTCCACAGGGGTGAGAACCTTGGTGAGAAACAGCGTGCACCGGTGCGCCGGTCAACCGCGAACCTCATCAAGGAGACGACCAGGTTGGCTGGCGGAGAGAGCAGTCGCAGCTGGCGATCGGCGTCCCGCAGGCCGGTGCACTTGGTACAGTAATACTGGTTATCACCGCACAGTCGTTCCGGCGTCAGGTAGTCGAGCAGCAGCTGCGATACGGTTAGCTCGATCTCTGTCTGGTTGTCCGTCGGTGGCGTGCCCCGCCAACCGACCGGCCGCGGCGCGGGGCCGAACGCCGGCGCAGTTTCGGCTCCCCCGGCGCCCGCGGCAGCTGCCGTCAGTGACCGTGTCACCGACTCCGGCAGAGCCAGGTGCAGGTCCGTCACGCTGTTCTGGTGGCGCGAAGCGCCGCCGCACGTGAGACAGGTGAACGTAGTCTCAGCCCGTCCGGTCAGTAGCCGACGGACCAGGCCGGCGGGCGGCTCCTCAGCTCCGGCGTCGCCAGTACCGTGCTCACGCACCACCTCGCCCTGCGCCTGGCCGTCCGGATCAGTCTGCTGCGTCCCGCCGGTGTCCGGTGACTCTGTGGGCTCCCCCTCCGCGGCAGTCCGCTCCGCCCTGTCTCCGGCCGGCTCTGCCATCACCACATCGGGGGCATCTTACCCCAAGGTACCGAAGTAACATTAAATCAGTACAATTTGTTAGCCATAAAACTACACCCTGAAACAAACTGTTTGGGACACAGTACACGCATGCTAATGTATCACGACTATAGCAAGGGACGCAAAAATTATTTACCTTCTTTGATATTTACAATGTTTTGACACCAAAATATTTTTTGAAAGCAGCAAATAAAAAACATGCAATCATCAGCCAGCCGTTGCCCAACTGAGCTTCGCAATTTTTTTTTTGTGCAGTTAACAAGGCAGGCTTCCGCTTTACGCTAAGAACATTAATTTCCAGGTCCGATTCTTTGTTTCGCCGCTAGAGGGGGTGGGGCGTCTTTCCCACCCTGGGCATCTTACCCCACTCTCCCCTATATCTGGGAATTTTTTAAGGTAACATGAGGTCAGGTCGGTCACGTGACATTGCTGTCATAAGTCAATGGGGAAATATAAAAACTGTTATTTTGGCGCCGAGAATGTTCTAAAACTATCTCACGTACATGGCATCGTGATTTCATGCACTCCTTGCAAAGTCCAATGCTTCACTTCTGCATTGTTAACCTTGCGTGACGTCATTTATGACGTCACTAGGGTCGCACGAGTTTTTCGTCAATAACTACCGATCAAATGAAGCTAGAGAGTCGGGAAAGCCACCAATGGACTCGGGAAGACCTTCCGAATCGAATGATATGCGGTGATACCCTTTGCCCAGCTTCGTGACCTGAGGGGATCTGACCTGACCTTGACCCGAGGTCAACTACTTAAGTTGACCTCACCCTAGCAAAAAGTACCTATACCATTCGATGCGCCTGAGCTAGCCGATGCTGCCTGAGCTCGATGCGCCTGTCACTTTTGTAATTGTTGCAATATCTCGGTAACTACCTGGCCGATTGCGCTGAAAGTTGGCATGTAGGTAGACACCCACTAGGCAATGCATATCCATGTGCCAGAGTTTGGGTGCTGCTGCACGTGCGCACGTGCAGGGGTCGATTCCAGATCTCGAGAACGACTGGACCGATGGCGCTCAAATTTTGCACATGGTTAGGGACCGGTTAGTAGGGTGCCGTGCAAAAGTCAGTTGGGACCCATTTTGCACGTGCAGGGTGCCGCTTCCAGATCTCGAGAACGGCTGGGCCGATTGTGCTCAAATTTGGCACATCGCTAGAGACCGGTTAGTAGGGTGCCGTGCACAAGTCAGCTGGAGGTACCTCGTCGAAATTTCGCACGTGCAAGGCTCACCCTCTCGCTCGCTCCGTTAGTCGCCCCAAAAGGCGTTATACTGGTTTTATGCAGTTCTGTGCCTAAATGCAAATGGCCTCCGCCATCAAGGCTGCCATTGCGGAAGAGATGACACGTGACATGTGTCAATGCTTCCGTAAAATTATGGACATTTTACTTAGCTTTCATCGAGATATCATTACAG